ACAAATTAATGGCAAGGTCCCATTGCTGAAATCAACACTTACACAACACATTTATCATGTAAAACTTGAGCTGGTGCCTAGACAGAGCTTTTGTCTCTAGGTTCTAGCATCTTTGATATAGGAAAATATTCTGCACACTACCAAAAGACAAATGTAAGCACCAACTCAGCTACAAGTCCTTTGATCTTAAATGGTGCCTTGTGTGCAAGATGTACTAAGGAAATGGTGGCAAAGGTTGTGGCAGTAACCAATCAATATCAGGACTAAGGCCCATTCCATGATATGGAGCTCCTACCTGACACTGCTTGGGTGACCAAGAACCTGATAGTAGATATCCCGGAGACCTAGGACAAAAGAAAACACTATTATTCTTTAAAAATGTAACAATTAAATTATTTTTAATGACATTCTGCAAACTCATAGATCAGTGTCTTGGTTAACCATCAGCAGATGGGAACAAATACAGAGACTCACAGACAGATGTTATACAGAAAGTGAGAGGCCTTGGAACCTTCAGCCATAAATGAGATATCTTCATCAAATGTCTTCACTCCACTTCTTAGAGTTTAGGGAAGCCTGCTTAGGAGAAAGCAGAAAGAATATAAGGGCCAGAAGGGATTGAGGACACCAAGAAAACAAGGCCCTCTAAATCAACATGATCAAATCTCATATGAATTCAGAGAGACTGAGGCAGCATGCATAGTCTCGCACACATCTGTTTCAGGACCTTTGGATAATTATGCTTCCAGTTTAGAGCATATGTGGGATTCCTGGATGTATGAACAAGTGGGTCTGTTTTTTTTTTTTTTTTTTTTTTTTTGTGTGTGTGTGTGTGTGTGCCTTTTCTTAGGCTCTTTCCTTTGAATTGTTTGTCTTGTCCAACTCCAAAATGTTAGCTCTGTTTTGTTTTATTTTTTATCTTTTAGAACTCTAATTCTTTTTGTTTTTGAAGATAGGTTTTCTCTGTGTAGTCTTGATAGTCCTAGACACACTTTGTTTACCAGGCTGGCCTTGAACTCACTGAGATCTGCTTGCCTCTGCCTCCCTGAGAGCTGGACTACAGGTATATGCCACTGTACCTAGCTCTTGGTTGTTTTCTAATGAGAGACAGAAATGTGTTAGATCCAGACGAGAGCAGAGACGGGAGAAAATGGAAGGAGGAGAGGTCATGAAAACTGTGTTCAGGATATATTATGTGAGAAAAAAAAATCTATTTTCAATTAAAGGAAAAATAAAGAAACATGGAGCAGAAATAAGAAAATAAAACTTTCATTACTTTTATTGTTAGTTCTTGTGCAGGCAAATTTTATCTGCTTTTTGACTATTATAGATGGGTCAGCTGCCCTAATAACAGGATTTTCTTAACATGAGCCTCAGACTGAAGGCAACATGATTTTCATGAGACTTTAGTGAGTTTGCAAATGAGAGAGAGAAAGAGAGAAAGAGAGAGAGAGCCTACTCCCTGTTCCAATTCATTATCTTATGCATGACAGGATAGGGGTTGTGAAACAAACAAACAAAAAGCCAGAAGATTCACCAGTCTATCATTCCTTGAGTCAAAAGCTCCAGAGCGTGTCTAGCCCTTCTTTGATCCTCTGAAGACTTCTTGTGTTTGTTGGAAATTGTTGTTGTTGATTTGGAGAGTGTTTTCAAAATTTCGGACAATATGTTGATTATGCTTTGACCCTCACACAACTCCTCCTAGAGTCTATCCATCTTCCTACCCATCCACATTTATGTCCTCTCTCTCACTCTCTTTCTCTCTCTCTCTCTCTCTTGCTCACTTGCTCATTTGGGCTCACTCTTGCTCTCATGCTCTCTCTCTTAAGCCATAAATAAACCCAAAACAACAAAAATAAAAACAAAAACAAAAAAAAACAACTGAGACAAAACCCGCCAAAACAAAGAGCTCCACACAGACATGTTGTTTAAAAAACAAAATAAAAATAAACAACAACAACAAAAACCATGGAGTTCATTCTATGTTGACCAACTTCTCCTTGTTATGGGAAAGTGGTGTGTGGTTTCTCTACTCAGTGAGAAAAGTACCGCAAAAAAAAAAAAAAATTGTTTTCTCTTTCCCAGCAGGTATCCATTTCAAATAGCTTCATTATTATGAGTAAGACCAACTATCCTACCCCTATTCTTTCTATCAGTTCTGGGACCCTGTCTGGTTTGAACCTATGCAGATCTAAACATGTATCTCTGGTGCAATCCTTTTATCTGTGACACGAGAGTGTGGTACTGGTTGCTCTCTGTGCACAGATGCATGGCTCAGCCTCCTAAATTATTTTTGTTGACATTCTTGGCTTCCTAGCTGTTCCTTTGACCTCTATGCTTAACTGAAAAGGCTAAGGTTTTTCCATGTCCTCACCTCATGGTAAATTCCAGGATATTCTGCTTTCCTATGCTGTTGTCTTTCTTTCAAAAATCTATTAAAAAATTCTCAAGCTTGCCTCTCAGTCTATTTTAAGGTTGTCTTTCTAATGATACTAATAACTCCAAAAGCGAAATTCAGTTCCCCAATACAGTGTTAGAAAGACTTCTCCATCACCTCTGCCTCCCAGAAGCCTCCAGGAGCAGGTTTTGGTGCTGGCTGTAAGTATCTGGGGAGCATGGTGCGCCCACCACACAGATGTAGGAGACCGTGTCTTCCAGCAGGGAGGCTGTGAAATGCAGGGTGCTGTGCTTAGCATCTGCATCCAGAATTGCTGAGTACCTTCCATTTGACTTTTTGTGCTCTGCGTAAGTCATGATTACCAGAGACACAGGACCTCTGCCTGTGTCTTGTTTGTACCACTTTAAGTTGTTAAAGGGGCTCACACTGTAGTTGCATTGAAGGACACAGCTCTCTCCCTCAAGCATGACCAAGGACTCGGGACTCTGCTCCACTTGGCTCTTGCCAGCCACCCCTGTTCAGAAAACAGTGTGAAGTTTCAGACATCGATTATCCACACTTAGCACTTGTAGTTAGCATCTTTCCTTACCCTATACAAGCATTTCAGGTCTAGAAATAGGTCGATTTTCTTCCCTCCTTCCACCCCAAGGTATTACATCTTTTCCCCAAATCCTACGGAAATGTTCTTTGCCCCTGGCTAACACCTCCACTCACTTACACTGAAAACATGGCCACAAAAGCACCCAGCAGGCACGCAGGTGCTTCTCCATTTTTACTGCAGAAGTGTGCTCCAAAGCTGCTGCCTCATTTCCTCAGCTCTTTCTTGTACCTTAAATGAGAACTCTCAAGAAGTACCACCAGCCAATCAGAGACCTGATCAGCAACTGGAGACAGGACCAATGCCAACACTGCCATCTCGCGGTCAGAGCTATAGTTGCTCAAAACCGTAGAGTAAGCATTTTGTGGTTAGTTATGGTTAGCGAGGTGATGCAGAATGTAATTCTTACGGATGTATAGAAACCACAGTAGAGTGTCAATGCGACTGTATTTCAGGACCTCAGTTCAACTCTGGCTCTACATAAGACAGCTAATATCTACTTTCCTTCTCTGAAAGTAGATGCCTAAGGACTTCTGAAAGTTTGAATAGAAAGGATTCACAGTAGGAGTTAATGATCATGACTAGCCTGAACTACGTCCTCACTTAAAATGTAAATTTCTTTAAAATGTGACTTTTCCTCCGTTCTATTTGCAACTATGTCACCAGTTTCAAAAAATGTGTTTTGCCATAAATGGGTACATTAAAATTCTGTTTAAAAATATTTGTATTAATTCTTTGACAATTTCATGTTTGTATACAAAGTATTTCTGAGCGAATGTTAAATCCTGTAGTAATGATAGGCTTTTAAATCATTCATTATTAGTTCAAAAATACTTTTCAAGACCTATATTACTCCAGTTGGTCACAGAAGCTAAGGATCAGCAATTCTGTGCTCATGAATTACACACTAACAGAGAAATAGTTGAACATCTGGCACAAATACTGACAAGTGGAATATGCTGAAGGTTGTGAAAATTCCTTTCTTAAAGTTTCTCATTTCTCAGTGAAATTTAAAACCCAGGAAAATGTAAAAATTGTTTAGATATATGAAGATTAACTGTATATCTGAGAACTAATAATTCACAGAGATAACGAAAGCAAAAAGAATGCCTGAAAATCAAAACCAGAATAATTATTTCATACAGGACAAGACAGGTTTTGAGAAGAGAATTATGAGAAGTAAAGACAATGTGATTACTGGTTTTTCCGGCAGCATAGCCAGGCCAGAGAACCCAGACAGTTAATCTAACATTCACCTAAATCTCACTGTGAAATAGGTGGATCTCATGTGATCCTTTGGAGGATTTAAGAGAAAATTGCTGGTGATTCACGCCTTTAATCTCAACAATTGGGAAGCAGAGGAAGGCAGATCTCAGTGAGTTTGAGGCCAGCCTGGTCTACAAAGAGAGTACCATGACAGCCAAGGCTATAGAGAGAAACCCTGTCTCAAATTAAAATAAAGGAAAAAGAAAAGAAAGGAGAGAGAGAGGGAGAGAGAGAGAGAGCAGTTTCTCACAACAGAAGAGATTCTGTTGGCTTGTGAAGAAGGTGACCTTTCTTCTGAACAATGAGTGCCTCCTTCATCTCTTCACGCTGCAGCTGCACCCGAGTCCCTGCTCTTCCTTCTTCTCCTTGATAATTAGGTGAGGCATGTTTGCTAGGGCTACTTCCCCCTAGCAAAGACTCCTGTAATGGGGACACAGAGCCATC